GATCACCGATATAGTGTTAATATATCCCCGATGCACTTCGCGCCGGGCTCGCAGAACCCTACAGACTGTATATTCATGTATTTAACCAGTTGAAAGGAAAGATAAATATCACACAACATATGTTTCGACTTATTCAACGGTTGAAACCTCCCCAGCTAAGAAAGAGACATATATTAAATCCCTACGTTCACACGCGACTCGCTTCTAACATGTCTGTCGATGCTTCCACTATCGTCACTAATGACTCTGTGATAACGAGCAATCCTCCAGGGAAAGTGAATGCTGTAGTAGTCCTACTAGGATGGTTAGGTATGCACAATGACTATGTTATGATATCGTATTCGCTTTGTCATCGTCTATTTTTTGAATCAGTAGATTAGACCGCTTCTGTATATTTAATTTATAGTAGAAGATTCAATATATTTGTGTTCCAGCAAGCGGTACACTGAGCAGAAATTTCCTATGGTGATTATCAGACACAGCTATGTGTATTGTACTATTCGACTCGTTTAACTAGCATGCTCGAGGTGTTGATGGAATTTCACCGCAATATGTATATTTTTATGTTCAGAGGTGTGGAGATGGATGAGAATAGCACATTATTTTCTCGTTTGACATATGAAATTCTAATCTAGAAAACAAGCTCATTACTGATCCAAATTCATAGTGGTATATCTCATTGTGGCTGTTTTACCTGTGTGCATATCTGACTTATAATACCTTTCCAAAAAAATACGTATATTCGTGCTAATCCGCAATTCTACGTAAAAAAACTCGCTTAATCACTTGCACACCAGGGGCCACACACCGTCCACTTGGCAAGTATGCTGAGATGTATCAAAAGAGAGGGTGTGTGACTATTGCCACTACAGCCCCGGCCGGGTCGGTCATGTTTCCTGGCACGAGTGCCGTGCGGGAACTAGCATCATCCGTATTAAAGTATGTAGTTCACTGCTTGTGAGAGATTGTGGATACGAGTGTGCGTCGTGTGTATAACCGGTAGTATGTGTGATATCCGGCTTACATTTTTTTAAACAGTTGGTGAAATTGTTCGCATCATTTAATTATGTCTATGGGATAAGTATACGAGTTCCGCGAAGAAACTTAGCAAGGGCCTGTCAGTAAATCGCCGATTGTGATGCGCAAAACAAATGAGTTTGATTTATCTAACCGCAGTCTTTTATTGCGAGATATTCAGCTGTTTGGTTGTTATTCTATATAGCAGTTCTCCTACTTTGCGATATTGCTGTTGTATTCTTTTATATTCTTATCAATTTCTAGTATATACTATTGCCACCGTCAGTGTATATTGTTCTATATACAACTTCTGAGAGTTGAGTTCATAGTGTGTGTGCGTTTATACGGATATATATATATATATATATATATATATATATATGTATGTGTGTGTGTGCGTGTGTGTTCAGTACGGCTGCAGTCTCATATATGTGTGACTGTCTGTTGTCGATTGCTGTGTGCTAGGCACATTGAGTACAATGGCAAATTATCATTGCCTAATAATTTTCTCTGCAACCTTTCAGTGAGGCAGCCAGCTCCATTAATCGAGTAGAAACAATGGCAGACAACACCAAAGTGCCCCTGATCGTACATGCATTCAGCAATGGAGGCGCATTTGTCGTGGAAACAATAGAAAACTTAATTCAGGAAAACAGTCAGGATGTAGAACGCACGGTTTCCAATCCTGGCACTGTGATTGAAAAGGATACAAAGCTGCAAGAGAATACACAATTGGCCGCCGATCGCATTCGACTTGGGGGTCAGGTGTTTGACTCGGCGCCTGCAATGATGCACCTTCAGGCTGGTGTTACGGCTATAGGTCATGCAATACCTGGTAGTGCTATACTGAGAGTCGGTGTGCAAGCGGTGTTCGGCATTGTTGCTGCACTAGGTGTGGTGTATGCTAGGGCTACTGGCGCTCCCGGCAGAGGAGTTGTGTTCTGGGACCACATGCAGCAAAGCAATTTGGGGTGTAAACAATACTATATATATAGTGTGGATGATGAACTGACAGATGCGAAATACTTAGATGAGCTGATAGCATACCGCAAAGAGAAGGGTGTGGAAATCACGGCTATTAGGCTAGAGTCTAGTCCCCACGTGCAACATTTGAAGTCGCACCCAGAAGTTTATAATCAGTTTGTGGACAACATACTGGAAGAGGCGGGGATGCATGCTTCTAGCAATTGAAAGACTACTAATTAAAGCTAATTTAATTATTGCAATTTTCTGGGTGGTATTGGCCAAGAATCACTTCGCTACCTATTACAGTTTCGCACTGTTACATGATAATATACTTGAATTGGATATCATCATTTGTTTGTCAAGGCCGAGGAATGAAGGTTCGAGTTCACATCTATGATTGCCTTAACGACCCAAAATTGGCGCCCTATAACGACGATTCCAAATATAGTAAAAGTACGACGAACATTCGCAAACATCAAAACGAATGTATTTATTTGTATTCCTACATATATATATA